AAGAAAACTAAAGAACAACCTGAGGTCACCGAGCTGAGAAATAAACTTAGACGCACGAGCGAGTGGATGCAACGTAACGGGATCATTCTCACCAGGGCGGATAAATCTAAAACGTTAGTCCTCATGAGACGCAGCACCTACCGCCAAGGCTTAAAGGAATACATCAATATCACCCAATGCGAAAAGGAGAATGAGAACGTGGTGGACAAAATACAAAATAAAGTTAAGAGATTTGCAAATATAAAAAAAAAAAAATTATGCTTTAGAAGTTAATCTAGTATCAAAAACGTTTGATTCAGCACAACACAGTCAGACTGGAACGCTTTCAGTTAGCCAATATTTTGGTTCATTGGCATTTGGATAATCAACACTCTACTCTATTATGATTTGGAAAACAGATTTGACATGAAATTTTTACAGAAATATTAAGTTTAGGATTTGATTTAAAATAAGTTGAAAAATTTCTATTTATATAAATTTCTCTAATAATTTTTAACATACGAGTATGTAGAACAATAAGGAAAGTTTTGTTATGTAACATTTTACTTCCCTTGCATTTTCACTTTAATAAAGTTAATTTTCAAAAATTAAGTAAATTTCATTACAAGATAAATTTAAAAAATACAAATTATTTTAGAGAATATATTCTTGAATGCACAAATGTTTGGCTATATGCTGTAATTAATTAACATTTGTAATGCTTTAAATTGGATTTGAGTAAGAATTGTTACATTAAATAATAACATTAAAATATAAACTCTTATTTTCTGTTTGAAGATCTTATATTGGAAATGAGAATTATTTCAATAAGGTTTAGTAAATTAAATATATATTTACAAATCTTGCATATGATAGTTTATTTTTTCAAAATTATTATTTCTTACTTTTTAATAGAATCAAAATGTACAAAATTTTTAATTATTGTTTTTAAAAAATAAAAATTTTTTAAAGTTTTTAGTGCTGAGTTAAATTTTTGAAAGAATTTGATTAAAAAAAGGAATAAAACCATTCTATAATTAAAGACTTATCCAAATTTTATTTCTTTGTAATTCCTTATTCAAACAAGCTGTTTAAATAAATACTAATAAACAGCATAGCTTCAAGATGAAAGTTATAAACAGTATGTTGTTTATTAGAATAAATACAGTATATCTTTCTTTTTATTTAGCAGACAATTTTTCTGACAGTTTTTGTTTTATTCTTACTTTTAATTTTGAGATTTTCTTCAGTAGTAATAAAAAAAAGTAAAAGCCTTCTTATTTTTTGATTGATTTATGTTGTAAAAAAATAAGATGTCATTTCATTTAATAATAAAAATATAAAAAATGAATTAATTTAATTACTGTCTATTATTGCCATAATAGTAATTTTCTGTGGTAAATTTCCTCAGGACTGTTTTAATTTCACTTGAACCTCGTTGAAGTGAATTAGATGCACTATATTATTACTTTGATGAGTTTCACATAGCACTCACTTGCATGGGGTTGAAACTGTTACAATTGTAGTTAGTCATGGGTTCATACATGGCCAGCAAGCTGGCAACTTAGCATTTTTCAGGTTTTCTTCACATTAGTAATGTCTAAATTGGTGTCAGTTTTCCATAAAAGTCCAGCCGGGAGGCAGATCCGGCCCTTTAGCAGATCGCCCACATGTGTTGCCGAAACCAAATAAACTGAACTAATTCTAATAATTTTTCAATAAATTTGCTATTTACCAGGACATACTTCCCATGTAGTTTACAGGCATTCTGATAATGATCTTAAAATGGGTTTTACCACATACATTTTTGAAATTTATGATTAATAATGCCAGATGTAACAATTACTGTGGTGAGCACTTTATGAACCCAGGAGAAATATAAACCCAAGCCAGGTTAACATACTAGTTATGAATATGTCAAAAAGGCCATAATTCAAAACTCTTCTGATACAGATGTTTTTGCCACATTATGATTACAGCATAGTGTAAGTATTGTATTATAATGGCATCTGGTCTGTCTTGGTTACAAAAATCAGCCAGCATCTCAACTAATTTTAATATTTAGCAATATGAAAAATAAGACACTTCTAGTTGTCTGGATTACAAAAATTTCTTGTATATAAATTAAACTTTATTAAAAAGGGATATTTTGAAATATAAAGATGATATATTTTCAACATTCATTAGAAAAATTTGTTGAAGAAAGAACTTCATATTATTGAGAACATTCCTGTGTAGGTTGTGTTTGGTGATAATATCTGATAATTTTTTCCTTAATGAACAATGTTTTATGACTATAATACATTAAAACTTGTTAAATATAAATTGATTTTTTAAATATAGTTTTAATTGAATTATACTTTTTAAACAAAAAAAACATTACTTTTTAAATGTTTTAGAAAAGATGTATAAAATATAAATTCGACTTTAGAATAAACAGATTTCTAAATTTAACACACATACTGAACAATTACCAGACATATTGTTTAAAATATACTTTACTACATAACACTTTATCTTGAATTAATAAATTTTATTTTTTGGTTATTTAGAGTGCATCAAAAAGTTATTCATTGCCTGCAAATATACAACGTGTTTTAGCACTATTAAAAACTTATAACATAAAACTTCCTAGTTCTCAAAATGATACTGAAATTGTAAAAAGTTATTGGCTACACACACAGTCAGCTTTGGCCAACATTGATAAATTTGCTAAAAAGTATGGAAAAGGATTAAATTCATTAAGACAAGACATCAGAGATGTGATTGCACAATTAGAAGAAGAAAAATGTGAATTGATAGAGTGAGTAATAATTTAAAATGTATAGATTAGTTTGCTTATTATTATAATTAATAGAAAAATAATTTATGGAGATACTACATTTTAGAGAATAAGAATTTGTATTCTGATGATAATTTTAAATCAGTAGCTACAAGTACATTTCCTTTTACAAGTATACTTGATAATATTTTATGGTCAGGAACAAAGAATGAATTTATTGTGGCTTATGATTGCAAAATATCAGTTAAATAATTAAAAATTTGAATTTATATTAATAAACCTTTTACATTTTATCATTTTAAGTATCGAATAGTATTTAATAGAAGTCTTCCTTACATAAATAATATATTTGTTTTTTTAGTTTTTAATTTTCTTATATCAACTATATTACAAAGTTGCCATTAATATCTTTATTGATAAGAAAATATTAATACTTAAGTGTAACATTGAATATATTATTTAATAGCTTTGTGTATGAAATAAGATGCAGCATAATTTTTAAATACAGATACTCTTAATATTGTATGCGTCACATTTTCAAAATAATATCTATACATTTTTCTCTCTATAAGATTTAAAATTATGGAAGAAAAATTATCCATAACAAAAACATCTAAATTATATATAGTTAACTTAGATGTTTTCTTCTATATCTTCCAGAGAAAGTAGCATATATATATATACAGTAGAGCATTGATTATCCGAATACCGATCAACTGAAACATAGGTTAACCAAAAGCATTCCAGTTGGCAAATTCNGAATCCACATTTCCAAAGAAAAATCTCCAATCAATGGACTAAAAATCTGGCACGAAAGATTTGGTCATCTTCACACTACCGCACTGAGAAAATTGTTAGATCAAGGAGGGGTCACTGGCCTAAAATTTGACAGGGAAGATATGCTTGATACATGCAAGACATGCATTGCGGGAAAGATGTCACGCCTGCCTTTTCCCCATTCCCTTGTCAAAAGGACGAGCCGACCACTCGAAATCATTCACACAGATATATGCGGACCTATGCGGAAGAGATCTCTTGGAGGATCACTTTATTTCGTTACATTCATTGATGATTTTACTCAATGGACAGAGGTACGTTTTCTAAAGACTAAGGACAAACTATTTGAGACGCTAAAAGACGTCAAAGCCTACCTAGAAAACCAAACTGGGTTAAAAATAAAAGCCATCCAGAGCGATAATGGAGGCGAATACTGCACCAAGGAAATGAATGCCTTCCTCAAACGACAGGGAATAACGCATCGAACATCAACTGCAAGAACCCCACAACAAAATGGAGTCGCCGAGCGCAAAAATCGAACACTAGGTCCATTCCACAACTCCACCGAAGGAGGCCTCTCGCACATCATTGGTTTACGCGGAAAAAAAAAAGGTCCGATACTTTTTGAACAGACCTTGTATATTGCTAAAAGCTGTGGATTGCTGCTTAATTGGGTGCAGTTTGATATGAGTGTCACTATTTTATAAACTGAGTAGGCACAAATGCCACCTGGCACAAAATATTGCTAAAGGGCTATGTTATTTTTTAGCAGTGCTTCTCTAACCATATTTATTGAATATGCCTTTTATTATTTAATCCAAAACAATAGATTTGTTGATACTCTCGACGCAAACCAATTTGACCCACTAGAGGGACCTACCCAATAACCAAACAAAAAGGTTTTATGACCCTTTGTCTTAACTTGTTCCTTTGTTCGGACTACTGACTGTCGACACGTGCGGACGTTTGTACTACTGCTATGTAAAGACTCTTGTACTATAATTCATAGATTAAAGGAAGATACCTTAACCAGTGTAATATGTTTCATCTGAGTGTCTCTCCGCTGATTCTGAATTAACGACAGGTTATGGGCCCNAAATAATTAAAAATTTGAATTTATATTAATAAACCTTTTACATTTTATCATTTTAAGTATCGAATAGTATTTAATAGAAGTCTTCCTTACATAAATAATATATTTGTTTTTTTAGTTTTTAATTTTCTTATATCAACTATATTACAAAGTTGCCATTAATATCTTTATTGATAAGAAAATATTAATACTTAAGTGTAACATTGAATATATTATTTAATAGCTTTGTGTATGAAATAAGATGCAGCATAATTTTTAAATACAGATACTCTTAATATTGTATGCGTCACATTTTCAAAATAATATCTATACATTTTTCTCTCTATAAGATTTAAAATTATGGAAGAAAAATTATCCATAACAAAAACATCTAAATTATATATAGTTAACTTAGATGTTTTCTTCTATATCTTCCAGAGAAAGTAGCATATATATATATACAGTAGAGCATTGATTATCCGAATACCGATCAACTGAAACATAGGTTAACCAAAAGCATTCCAGTCAGCAAATTCAAATTTCTGCTAGGGCTGTGTCATTGCATCACTCTTCCCCTCCCTGCCAAACTGAACTATAGGCCTAGTTTAATATATTATATTATGTAAGGTATGTATTTGTAAGACATTAGATACAAATTATATACAGTACAGTTTTCTGTTTAATATATTTTTTTGTAAATGATTAATTATCCAAACAACCCCAGTCCCAAATTGTTTTGGATAATCGATGTTCTACTGTATATATATACTATTTTCTTTAACTAATTCCCTGATATATGCTAAAGTATAGATTCATATATATTTTGAATAAAATTTCATTATGTGAAAGATAGAAGTTGTTAATAATATTTTTGGTATCTGTTTAGTATACTGGAAAGTGCACTGTGATATTTTTATATTTAATATTTATCCTGATATTTAAACAATATATTTTCCAATAAATTTGTATTTATATAAAAAAATAACAATACATTACAAATGTTTATCATGTATTTTTGTTAAGCATTTAGTTTAATTTTATAAAAAAATTAAATTCATGCTTTTGAAATTTAAAAAAGAAACATAAAATATATAAACAAACATTTTTATGTTTTGATGTTAAATTTACATGAAAATCACTTTTGTTAATTCACTTTTTTTGTGAACGTGTAGATCTTATGAGCAATGTCAGAAATTAATATCAGATGTTAATAATGAAAAATTAACTGAAGAACTGAAGCCAGAATTAAATAATATTAATCATCAACTTCATTCAAAAAAGAAACAAATTGAACAGCTGACTGCACTTTTGTATATGGTATGTTTAGATTTTTAATCTTTTATTTAATAAAAACGTAATAGTTTTTCAATTAAGGAACCAAAGATATAGGCCGATAATTTTTGGGGTCATACACATGGCCGTTTTTTATATATTGGAATAATCAAAGATTCAATCCATTTTTCCGGGAAAGTAGAAATTCTTTTAATAGAGTTAAAAACTTCCAATGTTGTAAGAAGAAAATTTTCTGAAAAACACTTTAAGTATTTTGTTCTAATAAAATCAATTCCAGGTGAGGTACCAAATTTAAAATGGTTAATAGCTCCTTTTAGCTCCAGTGTAAAATCTGTAAAACATTCCGTTCCTATTGAAAACACTTATACACATCCATAGACAATTGTTCCTCATTAATAAGTAAGGAATGTTCTTTAGAGAATTTAGTAGTATAATAATTGAACCAAATTATTGGAAAGATTGAGCTTTTGCGTTTAAAATTAGTTGCCAAAATATTTTAGAATTATTGCATGTCATCAATTTGTTATTTAAGTTTCGAAAATAAGACTGTTTTTTTTTTTTCTTTTGATCTAATAATTTATATTTCTTTAAATAATTTTTATATGAAATATAACATTCATATCAGTATTTAATTTTTTCACTTTCTTAAACAATTTCCATAGATTTTTTCACATGGAGTAACACTCGTTATCATATCATGCGTTTGTTGTATGCTTTTTAAAAGTTACAGATTTAAGGTAATAAATTAAATCTAGAGAGATTGCCACTATTGGCTATACATTCCACCAGATCATTGGATGTGAGGTTTCCTCCATATTCATCTAACAAAACTTTATCCAATTTAACAGCAAATAAAGATTTAAATTTATTCTTCCATATTGCACGTTTACCAGCATATTGTCTATTAGGAANTTTATTATCTTATTTGCATTTGTGTCACATCCCAATCATTTATAAAAGTTAAAATATTAATAATCAATCTGTTTCCTTATTTTCATTAACGGCATGCATATTTTAAAAATATCTGTGTTGTTTTAATGAAAATAAGATACGGATAAACCATTAATATAATTGAATTTATAATAAACTTGTAGTGATGTGAATGTAAAGCAGAACAGAGTACACATCTAGTGACAGCTGAAAATTATTACATAACAGTTTAATAAATATTTCAGGATATCTGAATACAGGTTAAAGATAATACTAATTTTTAGAATTCACTTTGTGTCTTTTTGCCAATGTGTTCAGAAATAACTTTAAATTGTGTTACTTAATATAAATGATGAGCAAAATAATTCAGTATGGACGCTTTATCTTACAAAGTATAATTTCCAATACTGTCAATGCATCTTAGTCTCTTCCTATTGTATTTACATAAAATATATATTGGAAAAATATTATAGTGTTGATATTTTGAGAAGTTCATCATCTTTTCTATGATTATGATAAAAGTGGTATATCAAGTACTTTTGGAAGTTATGCTTCAAAGTATAAATGCTTTCATACTTTTCATGCTTTTTTCATGCAGAGAGTTGGATAATAACAATTTAAATAATTACTTAGTATTACTGCATTTCTGTCTAGACAAGTTTTTCTTCAAGGAATGTAGTGATTGCAAACTTCTACAGTTGATTAATACATTGACACTTATCTTTAATACAGATAACTAGTCAAAATATGACACGCATACAAATGTATTCCTGCTTCAAAACTATTACTCTGTTATCATTTTGGTATCGTATTAATATAAAGCAGTGTTTTTCAGCCTTCTTGAATATGTAACCCCCAGGGCCATATTAAAACTATATCAGTGATTTTAAAAACTATGTATTTAATTTTCTTTCTGTTAAGACCAAAATATCAATTGAAAAACCAATTGTACTGTAAAATAAACAGGTACAGCCTTCTCACTGAAATTGTAGTTTTTTTTTATTATAGTGTAGGACCTACAAATACTTGTCTTTTTCTTTTACCCGCGACCTCCATGTAAGGCTTTGCGACCCCCTTGGGGACACGACCCACAGGTTGAAAAACACTGATATAAAGTATATCTTCATTAAAGATGCCTAATTAGTATCATAATGTTTAATGCTTATTTTTTAGAATTTTTGTCTACTAAACTAGTATTTAGTTGAATGCAATATAATATAAATATAGATAAGTGAGAGAATAATTTTGAATAACATAAATATAATAGAAATGTAATAAATCTTATTTTTATTAATTTAAAATGACAAAAAGAAACAATTTATAATTCTTATGTAACTTACTGTATAATAATAATAATAGATTAGTGCTGATTGAATGAATTTAAAACATTTAAAATGTCCTGTCTATTAGTTACTTGAATTTAATTGTTGTTTTAAATATTTAATTTACCATCTTATATATAATTTTGTGAAATAGCTGGGAAGTACCACAAGGCAGAAACGTTACCGAACACAGTCCACCACCATCAGGAAAGACAAACCCGGACATGTTTATGTTACAACAGAAATTTTGACCAGACCGAGGAGTAAAACTGTAGAAATACAAACCTCAACAAAAGTGTCGAAGATGCTGGAAATCTGTGAAGATCCTGCCGTGAATCCCAATCGTAGACTTTTACAAGAACTTCGTAACATTCAACAGAATTTACAGAAAAATAAATAACGAAACTAAATTGAATTTGCATGACTTATGAATTTTCAATACAATTTTCAGAAGCTAGCAAATATATTTCCTTTAGAAATAATGGGCAACTAATTTTTGTATCTTTCTACTTCTAAAAGTGTTTATATTTTTCAGTTATACAAATATATACTTTATATACATATATATATATGTACTAAAAGCCTAAATGATATGAATTTAAGAATCCCACAAATATTGTTCATGTTTTAAAACATTTAAATATTTATATAATAGTTTTAATTATTTTATATTTTGGTATTTGATCTTGTATATTAGCAATTGTATAAAAATAAAATGAAAGTTTTGTTATATTATCAGACAGATATTAATTAATTATAAATTTCAAATATTTATCATTGAAATTAACATTTAATTAGACAGAATACAAAGCAAAGATTGTAAGGGTGCATTTTCAAGGTTCGAATTTAAGGGGATATCTAAATTTACACACAATAAATTGACTTTTTTCTAATTAATAATAAACACAGGCGTATTTCAAGCAAGCATGACTATTTTTAAGTGTTGACACACACAAAAAGAAATGTCCTGAAACGATTCATTCACTATTCCTCAATAACATTCTTGTTTGATTGAATTACTTTCTTAAGAAGCCATCGACTGGAATACTATTAATAATAAAACCTGCGAGATACAGCAGTAATTCGTATAATGAAGTAGTAAATCATAGTTATGGTTATTTCTAATATATTAAAGTTGATCATTATCATAAAAAGAACATCAGACAAAGCTATATAACCTCTGAGAATTTGAAGATTGTAAAAAGTAACTTACTTTTACTCCGAAAATTCTCATTTATATCCATTTTAAGAAGTGTAAGCTATATATAAAACAAATCATTTGTTTTATGAATTTGGATTCTGTATCAAACTGATCTACTTTATAAACAAACTTAAAGAACATTTTTAAGATTTAAATAAATTATTTAAAAAAAAAATGCGAATTTTATGTAAAGTGCATTCCTGTATATCCTGTTATTTCATATTTAGGCGCCATTTTTCCCCCTGTAGGCGCCATATTTTCTACTAGCGAATCTGAAAGAAGCTCTTGTTAACGTTTATTTTTTTTATTTTTCACTTATTGATTTCTGTTAACAGATGATCGAATAGATTACACTTCCAACACTTGGAGCATATTGGCAACTGAAAAAAAATTGTTTCTTTTTTGTATGCATGCAAAACACACTAAAGAGCATTATGTTTTAATATAAATCAAGAGATGTCAGTGAACTTGTATTCTATTGAGTGCTGTTGAGTAAACATTAGTGACAAATCGCATCTATTCACCCGAAATCATTATTTACAGCATTCTCTAAATGGACTACTGTCAAATAGTAGACATTGTGACTACTTTAATTACACAACAGCTAGTTTTTATGTGACCTTCATTTTTTTCCTGGTTCTCCCACACCACGTGGCTACTCTTATCGGCATTAATTCCGTTTCTGGACTCAGACGATAGGAAAACTATGCAGTCGAACCCTCTTTCGAACTGCTATTTTTGTCGTCGTCATCTATATATCGAAATTTCGTAATAATTACATCGTTCTCCTTGTTGAATTCTCGCATTTTCACGCTCCTGAACTATTTTATAACACGTAAAATGCACTCGAGATATTTTATAGTAGCTGAGCTATATAAGAATCTGTAGGAGAACGAAAATAAATATCATTGAGAACTGTAACTAAATATAGTTTTCTTAGATTTGTTTGTAATTCGATAGGTTGAAAACAGTACTGACAATAAGCAGATGGAATACATCCGCTATTACTAAGCTTTTAAAAAAATGGAATCCTGTTATATTTACTGCTATCTGCAGGTACTCAGGTAGATAATGAGCCGTTGGATAATTGAATATAAATCTAAAAATACGCTAAAGATGCATTCTGGATGTTTAAATCAAGAATAAGGACTCCCGTTGAGTCTAGAAGAAAGGAAATTGGGAGCATCGTCCAGACTATCTTACTAATGGAAACACCCTAGGATCTGATGCATCAGCTATTTCTAATCACCAGAAATGCTATTCAAAGACATAAACTAGGCAAGTTGAGGGATGAGAATTTGGTCATGCGAAAGGGATACGTTTAATAATTAAGAAGTTCAATTTGTAACGTTAACAAGTGTTATAAAAACTAGTATTTTTAGTGTTAAAAGTGATAGTTTGGTATATTTTTCTTATAAATTTATGTAAATTTAAAGTGAAAATTTTATTTTAAACATATTTATTTACAACAAAAAAAAATTTTATAAATTTTTAAAGANTTTTAAAGTTGAATGAGACCTAAGCTCTCAGAGACTTTTGACGTTCTTACATAAGTTTTATATAATATAAAGCATGCATTACACGATACTTGATACAGCACAAAGTCTAGAGTCTTAACAAATACTAGGTTACGAGTACTGGATTAAGTTTATATATATATATGCCTATTTGAGGCCCTAAAAGCGTGAGGCCCTAGGCAAAATCCTTGATTTTCCATACTTAAAGTCATCACTAGATATTAGTAAATTTTTTTTTTTAATATTTACCATATAAATTTACTGAGTATCAGCAATTCGTCTATTTTACAAGTTAAATAAACTTTCTGATGTTATTCTATTCACGTGAGGGTTTCGTTTTACGAAAACTATTGCTATAAAAAGACTTAAACAACTATCACTTTCGCAATTTTACACTAGGATATTTATACAAAAAAATGTTCTGAGTTAAGTGAAAAATTTCGTTTTAAGTTTAGATAAAATTTAAATAAATTTTGTCTTCCTTTTATAGAATTGATGTATTGTTACAAGTAGTTTCGTAACAGAGTATTTTTAGACTCTTAACACAGAAAATTTCGTATTTTTCCGATATAAAATGACTTATACCATCCATAAATTTCTTTAGATTTTAACTAGAATTACTCGTTGTGTAATTCTAGTTAAAATCTAGAATTAATCTAAACGTTAATTCTAAGTTTCGTTTAATAATTACGTGCCAGTTTGCATTATCAGACTGGAACTAATTAAGCTATCCTTCGAATTTAAAGGCTTATAAAAAATTTCTTGTATATTATACACCAAAGTACTTACTAGAATTTGATCTTTCGTTATCTTAGGTTTGTGTTTCAATTTTTTTTTTTTTTTTTTTTAATAGCACAGATGCTAGTTTAATGCGAATTGTATGGCACCTGTTTAAGCTATATCAATTTACAAAGTACAGAATATTAATCGCGTGATTGCCCTTTAAGAATAGTGGTTATGAAGTAAATTATTGTTGAATGCTCTAAATAATTAACAGGATATTAATATCCAATGATTAATTCTAGTCGAATATGGTTAAGGTTCAATATAACTTTGTTTAATGTGGATTAAATTAGTAAGTTTGTGGATCCGGGAGCGAAATTTTTTTTATGAATTAAAAAAGATATTTCGTGTTGTAATATGATTTACAATTAAAAAAAGTAACGAGATATCTTGTTAGCGACAACTGTGAGAATTCAAGTAATAACTTAATGATAAGAAGCCAACAACGCCTTGTAATTATATCTACAACTGCGAATTTTATATTATTAATTCGGATATTATTAAAATAAAGAATTTATAAAATATTTTCTTTAATTTTTGCTATTTGTTTAACGTTTCTTCACGTGAATGTTTCCTTTATGTTGTATTAAGGAAATGGCCACTTGTAACGTCTGTGGAGGTGAAACCCTATATACTATATAGGGATAGAGGACTAAAACAGTTTCTGCAGTATCTGAGTTATGGCTTTGATGATACAGAATCTGCAAAACTGTAAATAGTGGTTGTTGTTAATATCGCTGTATCCTGGTTCAAAAAGTTGAAAGATATTACGGAGGCGTTAAAATATTGGAAAAACCGTCCGACGATGATTGAAAAATCTTCTCACGACGGAAAATAAATTTGAAACTTTGAACGGAAGTAGTTACTTTTAGTAATTAGTAGGCAGAATGATATCGTTTTACATGTTATAAATATAATCTATAAAAATACGAAAATTTATTATTTAATATAATTAACGCGTACTTCGCGTAACACATTCATAATTTTTACTTGAATTATGTAAATTTACTGTTTAAAAAGTCTAAAAATTCCTCATATATAGCTTTTACTTTCTGTATACTTCTTTCACAACTTACAATTTATGGCTCGAATCTAAAAGAAAAACTATTGGATGTTTTAGTTATGCAAAAAACTTTTAATGAAAAGCAGCAATAAAAATAAATCGTTAATACGGTTTTCTTGATATATTCGATAAATTCGGAATTAAATTTATCGTGCAGAAAATCCCTGTTTAAGATTCGTGAAAGTATTTATGCCCAAATGACAATTTTATAATTTAAGAGCGTACAAATGACCCATATAAATTTTCTTGTAGCTATTAAGAACCATTTAATTTTTCTTTACTTAATCTTATCGGAAAGATAATGTTTTCCTGTATACATAAAGTTATAAAACTACTTCGAAAGAACATTTTAAAGATTCTGTAGCTTGTATTCATTGATTATTCTTGGAGCATTTGCAAGAAAAAAAAGAAATTCTTATTAAGGTGGAGAAGAATAACAAATTTTGACAAGTGTATCACGTTGCAATTTCGTTGAATCCAAGTCTGAGAAAGTGAATCTTGTTATCTTTCAGCCGAATATCACTCATCAGAAGCATACAATTTTAATATCTCGACAACTACTAAATTTTTTATATCATTAACCTCTTGGGTTTCATGCTTACAACTGAATATGATGTAACTAAAACTAATGATTATGTGGTTTATATCCGTTAAGTTAGTGTGAAAACCCTAACGACCTTCGAGTTTTAACCACATCAGACGACAGCATTATCCTAAATATTAAAATTATAAACTATCCTAAGCTATAAACTTATATAATTTCAACTTTAATCTCTGGTAACGTACTGTACGTAAAAAAATAACTATTCGTATACTATTTATTACCAACATAAAAATATGGTTTATAAAATTCACGCAAAGTTCAAAAACCTCTTCATAGACGTTAATCCTAGGATCAAATCGAAATGAATAAAGTTAACGTTACGGTTAAGTGGGATATATGATCCATCATCATCATCAATTTTTAGTTTGTATTTTTTCTTTTTTTTATGTTGTGTTATTCAACATTGGGTGCGTAAACAGTGTGATAAGTAAGGTTAAGGAGAGTCAGGAAGATGTGTTTACTTTCAAAGAGATAATCAATAGGAAAAAAAAGGACCTTGGGGATAGAAATAGATTTAATAATTGATCTGTAAACATATTTTATTTTTTTGAGCATTGAATTCGTGGAAAATGTGGATTTTGTTGGCTGTTTCTATATAAAGTTGCTGATAGAATATAGAAGAAAGTGCGTTAAAACTAAAAAGAAACTTTGTTTCGTATGATAGATAGAACGTGCAGACAGACAACGGGACTATCTAATGGCGGCTTTTGTATATGTATTATTGAAGACATTTAATTAAAATATTTTAAGTAAATGTACAGTATTGCTTATTGATACGAAAGAAATTCGATTAACATTTATTATTTTTGGAAAATTTTAGTATAAAAATTTATTTTAAAAATATGATCGCTGGTATTTGGATGGAATTCCCTAAGAAACAATACTTTTTGTTATGAAATTCCAACGGATTGTTTTTTTTTTTTTCCGTTCGAAATCATGAAGAAAATGTCATTGTATTGACAGGAACATCAGGAAAAATGGAGAAAAAATCATTATAAATAAAATAAGCTTTTCTAAATTATAATTCCTCCTTTTCCTCACACATTTCATTGCCTTTCCCTCTGATTTTTTCCTCGAATTGACTCAAAAATCAAAACTTTTTTTTGGTATAAAGATTATCTTTAACTATAAATTTATAAAAAAAACAAATTAAATTATTATTTTAAATATAGCAGTCATACATTCAATACAGTCGACCGAAAATATATATATGTATACATATATTTATATAAGTAGATCTAGCAAACGACTAGAAAATAGTTAAAATTTTAGCATAAATAATTTAATATTTTCAAGTAAAATTTCAAATTTAACAACTTGTTAGATCACGAGAGCGTTCTAAATACACGTACAGTACAGTACAATGTACAGTATATGTACAACAATACTATTTATATATCTAATTTTGCACGTTTCTAATTAGTGATGCGGAAGGAACGACAAGAAAATCAAGGAATTTTATATTGGATTATTGAATTTTATGGTGTTTTTTAGTATAAAAACAGAAGAAGAATATATTTGTGACGTTTAAATTTGAAGTTTGTTGATGTTGGAGAGGTCATTCTTCACTTCTAATTCTTTCTTCTGTCTCGCTAACTCACCCAAAGCAATACATTCGTTAAGTGGATTACTATCCAGACTATTTTGATTAACTTCTTTCGTAGATTTGCTTAGTTCTGTAAATAAAAATATACGAATAATTTAATGATATATATCACTTTTTAAAAAATCTGATATTGTCAAGCATTCAATATCCGTGCCAAGGTGGGGAATTGTATACAAGGCCAACGATATTTATTTATTTTGTACACATATATGACCTCAATATCTCTTCGAGTTCTTGAAAGATTTAAGCTAAAATTAAATAGTTTTTATTATTAAGAATTTTTCGAGACAGCGAATTTTGATTTATGTTACTTTAACCTTGACACTTACGGATCCAGTTACATATATAAACATCTCATATACATATAACTACTTAGCTTAATAGTATACTAAGCGGCTGACGACAGAAAACTAGCAAAAAATTCGATCGAAATCGCGATCTAAAGTAGCTGTAACTTGCCACTTCCGAAGTGAATTTTTTTAAAAAATTCATATTATAATATATATTAAATGTAATTTAAACAATTTAACTAGGCAGAATGTTGTAGAAATGATTACCAGTTAGATCCATCTTGCAACAACCATCTGACTTCTCACGCCTATTGATTACCCAATATATGAACACTCCAATTTTAAATATCTTCTTAATTAGCATTTTTTTCAAAAAAATCTTTAAAAAAATTAAATTAAATGGCATTAAGTAACATTTATATACCTTGAGTATTAGAACGAATCGAAGAATTTCGGTTAGTTTGTGGCCAACAAAGATGACAAATCGGTTTGAGTAACTTCCTCAACCCCTTTCGATGAGGCTTTCTTGATAGAACGTAAACAATAGGATCCAATGTGAAGTTTAAGGCAATGCAACCATCCGCTATCTTATAGAATAAATTAATTTTGGTGTTTGGTTTCATCTGCGCTATGATAATGGTTATCTGAAAACAAACATAAATTTCAAAATTTGTGAAGATCTTATGATGCTTTACACGTAACTTACCAACTGTGGCACCCAACATATAACAAAAAACACGCAGATCATGATCATCAATTTAGCAAAGGACACTTCTTCGGGTGTTGTGTGATTAAAACTTAACTCGTTGCTATCCTTTCTCATGGCAGTTCTTCCTAATCTCTCGAGATTCTTCTTGCCCATTCTGCAAAGGACCCTTACGACTGCTAAATTACAACAGACGATCACCACACATAAAAACATTCCAAATACGAAAATCACATAGGCGTAAGCAATGTCTTTAGCCTTGGTAGCATTTTTATATCTGGTGCATTCGGATTTTTCGTAGTAAACCCCAAAACCAACGAAGGGTAAGCAATCCAATATCAGCACCACTATCCATAAACTAAATATGGCTCTTTTAATTAGTTTATAGGTAACTTGCTGAAAGAAAAAAGATAATGAATGATTTTATTAATATTTTTCTGGTTATCTATACAAGAAAATGTTAAGAAGTTGATGAATTTTGGCTCGAGAATCCGCCATGAAGTACCTCCCAGTTTGAAAATATGTTGTAAAGATGTATATTACAAGTGGATGATAAGACAAATAGCTTGTTAGACACTTCCAATGTCAAACAATTTTAGTAATTTATGTACCAGATGGCAAAGTTTATGATGATTAAGCTTAAACAACACAGTTTTTAATAATATTTAATTTACGAACTTAGGAAAACGTTAAAAGATACAAAAACAGATAATATTTATCGAGATATTTATTATATAAATATTTTTCTCTCTTGTTTTTATAAAATAAAGCCAGAAAAAATGAGGATGGTACACTTCAGTTAAAAAAAGACGAAGAGAATCTTCTTCTAACACGCAATGTTATACAGTAGTTGTTTGAATAAACAAAGAAAATTCTATGTATAAGTCTTCTCGACATATGGGAAAGGTCAACCAACTTATATTTAGGTGCCCTGTTTGATAAAATACATTAATAAAAAAAAAGTACTGCAGTTTGTAACTGGGCTAGTAGGATATGCGAAGTAAACCTGTGATGACAAATAACAGTTTTTAAGTGCTAGAGTGAATAGAATCCGGAATCTATCAGAATAAACAAACTTCTACTGAAGAAAAATGATGTCTGGAGATAAAAACGAGTATAAAATAAAGTTTTCGGCATAAAATTCTGGAATTTAAACAGCAAAATATGTTAAAAATTTAGAAATTTTGGCGTTATCTTACTGTTGTTTACAGCGCTAAACGGGCAATATGTAAGTATAAGTGCGTTATCAGTGTCTATACATTAGAAAAAATAAAGGATGTAGAAATATATTTTTATTTTTTTTAAAAAGTAAAATTATTTGACAACAAGGATCCAATTTACGTAAATAATTAATAAAACCCATAAACTGTTAATAAATAAAATATATTGAGATTAATTATGTAGTCTGCAAGTAGCCTAATCATTAAGACATACGAGACGTATATGTCTATGCATAAATAACTACTGTACATAAAACGTTAGATAGAATATAATATATCGTCTATAATTATGAATTTTCTATTAAAAGCTCGATATAAATAATGAAATTTAACAAAAAATCCAGATTTAATTAGTATAATGTGAAGTAAATTTGTGTAATTAATGTTTAAAAAATGTGCTTAAATGAATAATAATATAATATATTTGAATTTTTAAAGGAAAATCTTTCTAAATCGCTTTGNCATTTTTATATTAGAATAAATGACAATTTTTTTCAGTTGAAATACTCAGATTAGTCTGTTATAAAGAATTCTTGTAAGACGGAAAATTTACTCGTTCGTCGCATATTATCGAATCGAAATTACAAAAATCAAAATGTCGGAAAGAGAATAAGATAGAATGAATATTAAATAATCGATGACGTAGAAATTTTGAGATAAATACAGTTGTTACTATTTGTAGAGGACGTGTCCAGATCGTTGCACCTTAACAATCCATTGTAGATGCTCCACCGTGCATCACAAAAATCATACCATCTGTGAAATCACGTGATGGGCCACCAAAGAGTTATCACAGTTAAGGAAATATTTGTTAATCGTGACGAGTCGACCCGATGAATTTTTAGTATGAATACGTGGGAGAGACGTGATTGACCTCTCGAGATAAATTACATCTAATCCCTCGACCATGTTTTCGTCTTGTAACCGATCGGAATTACACCCACAAAGTTGTTTTTGATGTATGTTTAAGTAATTTATATTTAACTAGACTAATTTTAGTACGAATATAGGACTTTAAATTAAATATTTATCCGTTTTGCTTACGCTGTTTCATTTTGTAACAGAGTTAAAATATTATTCATTCGTTATCGATTGGAAACAAAAAAAAATAAATAAAGATAAGTTACACAGAATAATTTTTCAATTAATTTTTAACTCTGGACAACCTGTTCTAAAATTTATAATGCATAGAAAGTAATATAGGATCGCTTTTATAGTACATGTACTGTACAAATGAACAATGGCTGATCTTTCAATTTCAACCATTGACTTAATTAACTACATCGTCGGATAATAAAGTAAAGAAAAATAAAAATAGTCGAGTACAAAGCGTAACGATTGTTATAGGAGCGTGAAAAGATATAAATTACTTCTTTTATTTATGATAAGAACCGGAATTATTATAGTTGGCCGAAGTATAAAGGAAACAATGACCTTCCACTTCGTCTAATCATCTGCCTAGACTTGGATCGTTATCGATAAAATCTTCTCCCTTCCCATTAACATAAGTTAATATTTAAATAATAATAATATTTTTAAAATTCTTGATTGAGGAGAAACTTTAATAATAATCATAGCAATTTATATAATTTAAATTTATTCATTATGTACTTTACAGAGCGTTACACGTCTATACACTCGTTAATTTTTTCTTTACGATCTATTAGTTTATAATGATTTAAATTTAGGATTGTGCACATTTAAATTAATTAATATTTTATTTTAAAAATTCTGAATTATTATTTTAATTTAATTTTTTTTTGTTTGATTTTGTAGGAAGCACGTCCAAACGATTCAATCAAAGCATTAAACCTTATATATATATACACACATACACAACATTTAGAAATTCAGGATGTATTTCCGAAAGGTTATTTAATTTAATTTAATTTAATTTTTTTTTGTCTGTAATTGTAGGAAGCGTGTGTTTACGATTCAATCAAAATGTCTATCTTTCGGCATTTGTAACGACACCTACGACACGAAAACATTTAGAAAAATTTTGTAAAATAAATAAACTTGGCGGTGAATAATGATGGAACCAAGTTTATAGTAAAGTCCCCAAGTGATTATGGATTAGCAAACGAAAGATGGTTGATTTATAACAGGGACGACACGAAATTTTGTGTTTCGTTAATTGCTTCTGTCATCTCAGCGCGTGAGCAAAATGTCACATCATAGAAAAAACTAATTTAACTTGAACAAGTTCAAGGTTACTCTCGATTTTCAAAGAATGAACCACGAAAAATTACTACTTAAAATTTAACGGGCATAGACGAAATGGTGTTTAAAACCGAAGAAACGGTTGTTTTGTTAGAAACTAATCTCCTAATTGAACCTATATCGTCGAGTTATTGATCATTTCGAAACAGATTAGAACTGTTTTTTTTTTTTTCTATAATGAGTTTGTTTCTTCGGATATTTTTAGAGACGAACGGAAAAAATAATGGATTTTTTTATGACTCACGAAATTTTCTCCACGTTAAGTTGAAATATGTTAAGATATCAAGCGTGTGGATTGTCTGATCCAGCATCCACTTTTAACACTTAAATGATAGGATAAGCAGCCAAGCAGCGTGTAGGGGGTAATTTATAAATGGCAGACGTATCACGAATATTAGTATCGTGTGCCATTTTGAAGGAAAAGGAGACACAAGTATCGTGTTTTACGTGTTGGCAAATTTAGAATGTAATGGATGGTTGTAGAACAAGTTGCTGTCAAAAATGTAGATTAAAAAAATCTGATTTTATTTTTTCATATCATAAATAAATCGTATTATTTAAATTTCCTGACAAATGTATTGTTACTAGTCTAGAATTTTTGTGTTATTAAAAATTCTAGAATTGTTTGGAAAATACTGTATTCTAGAACTTTTCTATCATTAAAAACTCGAACTGCTTCAAGTAATAAATTTCCTAGAAAGAAATTAACACGTAATTTAGAATGCAAAATATTCTGTTTCATTTTACGATTTCATTATGACGTAACGATTATTCTAGAAAAATAAACTAGAATTTTGTTTATTTCTATTATAGAAAATATAATTTTCTATATACAATATTATCTTAATTACCATACAGAAGCATTATTTATATTCTAGAATGTTTGGATTATTAAATTCTAGAATTGTTTAACAATAAATTTTCTAGAAAGGAGTTAACACAAAATTGAATGAACATAAATATTCTATTTCATTTTACGACTATATAACGACGTAATAGTTATTCTAGAAAAAATAAAATTGACAACCAAAATTGTAATTTCTATAAAAATGAATGTTCTAGAAAAAAAATAATCGAATATTGTTTTACATATTATTATTAAAGTTGATCACCATCCACATCTGGCTCATCAAATTTCAATTATATAAAGATAAAAGATTCTAATTATGGATATATGTCATGGAAAATTCTATTTAAAGCATATAAAAACCTACACAGAATTATTATTTGAATAATATTTCTATCTTTAGATTCTAAAAAGATTTTTAGTAATTTCTACAAGGAGCAACCAGTCACAAGTGATGAATTTATGACATTTTATTAAAGCATTCCCTCTTTAAACTGCTGTAATTATATGAAAATGTGCATAATAATCTGTTTTAATTATTAAATGAGGGCAATTCTTAATTTTTACATCACCTCAAACCATTCAAAAATAGAAAAAAATTGAGAACTGTCAAAGTATTTTTAAAGCAACATATCATTCATTTATATCATAGGGATGCACTAAAGAAAAACCATTTTCCTCATTCTAACTATAGTCACAGTATCCTGTAGCGCGATAAAGAATGTTCTTCTCTTGAAGAAGAGAGACTTTTCTCTTTTAATTTACAAAATTCTTTTGTATGTTATTCAGTTTTCTTCTTAAGAAATTAAACTCGAAACCAAAAAATCCAATGCTGCTGTGATAAATAAGTATAAAATTCCTACCGGCTTACGATCGATTTACTTTTGTGAGAAATAAAATTCAAACGAATCACCATATTAAAGTTATTTTATGGCCATATTACTATCTAAAATGGGATATGAACGTACAAAGATAAGGACGATTGCTTTGTAGACTTGATTTCCTATCCAGATATAATTAATTATAGCAGCGAAATTGTATTTTCAATATTCTAGAATTATTTCACATCAGAATAAATGGTTTGTAAAGGATATAAATAAATAATATTTAGAGGAAATTTTGTTTTTCAAATA